TTAATATGTTTAGGATGATGGTTATGATCATGGTAATTATCACGCTGATTACAATAACAGTGGTTGTGACGGTTACAATGAAGATGACAGGCATTACAGCAGATGTGATGGTCAGGATGATGATGATATTCTTGGTATTAATTGTGACGACGTTTATTGTGCTGATCATGATGTGTGATGTCAATGGTGGTGTTAAGTACCGTGCTGTCCTGCGGCGATCTCATCGTTGGGAATGCCAGGTGTGTCCACAAAGGTGACGCTCTCCAGAATGGGACACGGCAACTGCACACGCACCACCCTGCACACACACACACACAAATACACACAAATACCCCCCGTGTAGTCGATAGACTGTTGGGGCAAGTGCAACGAGGGGTTGGTGTGGCTAGCACCACAAACCGTACGAGATGCTAAATTTAGGCTGAGTCGACCTAGGGGAGGTCCGGGACCAGTTCAGATATAATCGACACTGGTTGTTGGTCGTGAGCGGGATTCGAACTCGGGTGTTCGGGTTGGTAGCGCAGCGCGCTAACCGCAACACTACCGCTCCCACTACCGCTGCAGACACAATACACACACCCCTTATACATCCACACCTACACACGAGGGTTGTTTAAACGACAACCGGAAAAGCGTTCATCGTTATCAAACTCGATGACCGGTTTCTGAAATTCAGGAACCGGTTGTAGTACTCAGTGGAATTTTGGAAAAGAATGCTCTGATTGGCACGCGCGTACGGACAAACGGCACGGCGACCTAAAGTCTGTGCGTGGTAACACTTTCCCCTCGGTTCGGTGAACGTGTAAAGGCGCAGCCCTGCAACTGCTCACTCGCGCCACTGCCGCCAGAAGGGCCTCCAATAGAGGGAGCTATAGGGTGTATTTGGTCTACTCTTCCCACGCCGATCAGACGTGTGGACGTACCCACGCTTTACCCCACCACACGCGACTCACTAATTGACGCAACTCGATCATTCTACTAAATAACCATACACACCGGGGGGAGGGGATTTAATACACGTGCGCTCTTGCTACCACGTGCGCTCTTGCTACCCACGTGCACTCTTGCTACCACGTGCAAGAGTGCACGTGGGTTACGTGCACACATAACATTCCTGACGTAATGTTATGCGTGCACGTGCATTGCCGGCTCTCGGCAATGCACGTGACGTAATGTTATGCGTGCACGTGCATTGCCGGCTCTCGACATTATTGAGCTTTTGTAAAGAATTCGAAAAAAAATGGCTCTTCTTGTTGTTTTGGGTTGCAGACTCCCGCTCGGGACTTTTCTAAACGAGCGGTAAACCGGTTTTTATACCAGTGTTTTTACGCGGTTACCGGTAACCGCCACTCAAATCACCTTTTGGGTTGCCACCCATTCCACAGACCAAAGCTTGGGGCATTTTTGCAATCGGCACTCGGGTCCATCAAACCTGTGCAACTGTACACTTCTGTAAATCTCAGCACGAATTCAATTCAAACACCGGACAGGCGACAACCGTGAACTCACCTGGACATAGCCGCGCTGCCGAACGCCGCCAAGCCCGCGAAAGCCGAGTTCGCCTCCAGCACCAAGGCGTGCCCAGGCGTCACGCTCCCCGGTGCCTCCCCGTGCTGCACGATGGTCACGGAGGTCGTGGCGCTGCCCGGCTGCAACACTCCCTGCTGCAGCTGCTGCAGAAACTGCTGCTGCTGGGAGCTGGGGCCGCCCAGCAGGTAGCGCAGCAGACTGGTCTTGCCCGCGGCCGGCGCGCCCAGGAGCAGCACCGTGGGCGGGGAGTCGAACTCTGCGTCGCGCAGCTCGGCGGCGCGATACGCCACGTGGAAGCCGTAGCGGCGCTCGATGGGCAGCACGTGCTGGCGGTAGAGCCGAGCAAGCGCCCGGGCAGCGGGCAACCGCTCAGCCTCATCCTCCTGCTGCGGCTGGGTTTCTCTGCGGCTCGCTGATGAGCCTCTGAGCCGGGATAACATTGGCCCTGTGTGTGTGTGTGCGCGCGCGCTGCTGTGTTTGTCTGTGTTGATGCGTGTCTGTCTATTTTTTCTGTGTGTCTGTTTTAGCGAGTGCTCGCTTAACAGCACTAGCTACAAAAGTTTAAGAGGCTATACAGTAATACGGGGGATCTTTATCTTTTAGCGAGTTGATCTGGACGATGTTTGTGTTGGTCTGCGTCCCTGCGTATTTGTACCTGCGTATGTCAATTCGCACGTGTCAATATTGCGCATCTCTCTCGTGTTGCTGCCGCACTGTGCATGTTTGTCTGAAAGAGCCTGTGTGCGTCCGATCCTCAGTGTGCGCCCATAACTTATCACCATTATCATCACACCTCAACACCGTACGAACTACGATTATATCGGCAAACTACGAATACGCCACTCATTTCGTGTCGGTCACTATAACATACCAATACACACCGGTACTACATGCAAGTACCTACATCTGTGTTATCTATCTGCACTATCTGTTACACCTATATACGTCGGCACTATCTATTACTATCTGTTAAACCACGTGTGCCACCTATATCACGTCTGTTTACGCCTCTCATCCCCGACGCGCCCGCTCTGCCCAGAGCAAATTTGGAAGCTGCCCCGCGGGGTCCGAGATACTGTGAAGGGTGCGAGCAGCGACCGGGGGTGGTGGCTGGTGCCAGACCAGCTGGTGCCAGGGCAAGTGTGGGTCTTAGGGAGTGCCGGGGACTGCAAGCAGAGCTGTCTGGAAAGGGAATTCTCGTGTGCCCGCGTCCACTGGGAGGAGCGGGCAGAGGAGGAGGAGGGCACGGGGTGCCGTTGGCACTCAACTTTATTTTTAGGAAGGCACCATCAACTGTACGTGTGGATGTCACGGGCGCGTTCGAGATATCGAGCCAAGGCGCCGACCCAGCCCCTGCCCTCGCTAACGCGCCACTATCGCAAATTCAACAAGGCCCCCCCCCTCTCTCCTCCCCGGATAAACTCCAGACCGTGAGAGTCATCATTCAAGGCCCTCCCCCGCCCACCCCCCTCTTCTCACCCACGCTCTCGCTCCCCGCCCACGTATCCACCCTATCACCCCCCCCACCTTCTCACTCCCCACACACACCCCAATTCAACCACCCTCACTCCCCGCACACTCGCCCATCCCTCTCGCTATCCCGACCACGACACACACGCACGCATCCATTTTTGGCCTCTATTGAAAAAAATTCGTACCCGTGATTTCTGTTCTGTTGGCTGGTACAGTAAAACTGTTGCTAAGACCCAAATGTAGAGTCAGATTCACCTCGCGTCACCTTGGCGATTTGCCACACAGTATTTTTGAAGGGAAATAGGGCAGGTTTTTTTTGTCAAATGTCTGCCCAAGAAAAGCTTTTGCCAATAAGCGAGTCTTTTTTTTAACTAATACCAGATTTTAAAAAAAAATCATTGCGGTGGAGTGGAATGTGAGTGCTTTGTGTGGGCTATGGAAGTGCGAGTGATGGTTGGTGATGTGGTGAGGGTGAGAGGTGAGTGACGTGAGTGGGGTGGGCTGGTGAGTGTAATGTGGTGAGAGGTGAGTAATGTGAACGTGTGGGCTTGGGGGAGTGTGAGTAATGGCTGGTGAGTGATAGTGTGATGTGGTGAGAGAGGTGAGTGGGCTGGTGAGTGATAGTGTGATATGGTGAGAGAGGTGAGTGATGAGTGGGGTGGGCTGGTGAGAGTGTGGTGTAGTGAGGGTGCGAGAGGTGGGTGATGTGAGTGTGTGGGTTGGGGGAGAGCACAATGGCTGGTGTGTGAGAGTGATGTGGTGAGAGAGGTGAGTGGGATGGGCTGGTGAGAGTATGGTGAGGGTGAGTGAGGTGGGTGATGCGAGTGTGTGGGTTAGGGAAGTGAGAGTAATGGCTGGTGAATGTGTGATGTGGTGGGGGAAATGATGTGAGTGGGGCGGGTGTAGGTGATGTGTGGGTGATGTGTGGGTGACGACCGATTCCTGCTCACGACCAATAAGTGGCGAATACCTGAACCGGTCTTGGGCCTCCCCAAGGTCGACTCAGCCTTAAATGAAAACCTCGTGTGCTGCTGCCACCCACCCCTCATGTTGCCGTGCAGGCCCTTCATAGGTGCTCGCTAACAGCACTGGCCCAACAGTCTGTTACGGCTATAAGGGGGGGATCTTTTTTTCTCGATGTGAAGGGGGTGACAGGTGAGTGGTGGGGCGGCTGTGTGAGAGGTAGGTGAAGTCCGCACCACTCCTCTCCGTCCCGACATTCCTGCACTTCCCTGTGCCGTTCCATTTGTCAATGAACTTGTTTTGATTCAGTTTTTTCCCCAGTTTATTCCACTTGTGCCATCTGTGTCATGTCATGAGTCAAATACAATTATACATAGAACGTTGGCAGTAAGCAATCAAGCAAGCAGTATATCACCTCGTGTCAGACAGCAGCGCTTGAACGTTGATGTCACGTAATTACTAAATTCCCTTAAGTCGGCCTCTTTACTCATACTATGCAGGCCTTTATTCTTATTTGCATGCTCTGCAAACAGTGCTTCATGTAAATAAAACCAAAATGTCTAATTCTCAGCGCTGAAAGTTTGCCAAATGAAGTGAAAAACTCGCACTTGATTATTTTGTGTGTGTGTGTGTGCAGTCATTGGTGGTGACCGAGTTGAGGACCCTCATCAACTCGCTACTACGCTTGACGACCGAGTTCAGTGATCGGGCGACGAGAACCTGGATTTGAACCCATGCCCCCCAGCAGTGCCGGCTCGGCGTCTGCTGCCCGCGGTGCCTCCCACCCGGAGCCACCCGCCCACCTCCGTCCGTAGGAGTCGAAAACGTTTATTTGTTTTGGGTTTTGCGATGAACGTTCACATCCGCTTCAAAACGTCACGACCAACTCCGCCACCGCGGAAGCGCAACTGCTTGCGTACAAAATGACCTGGGCGCTGATAGACAAAGATCCCCCGTGTAACCTTAACAGACTGTTGGGGCAAGCGCTGTTAGCGTGTAGCATGAAGGCAGGCAGGGCACACGAGGGGGTGGGGGTGGCCAGTACCACGCCCGGTCGCCTTTGTCTCCCGAGTGGCGATGTTTACACACTGCACCAGGTACTCATTTAATGGCGAGTTCGACCGAGGGGATGCCCTGGACCGGTTCAGATAATCGTCACCGATGTTGTCTGTGAGCGGGAATCGAATTCGAGTCGCCAGGGTTCGTAGCGTGGCGCGCTAACCGCGACACTACTGCTGATAACGCGCACACACACACGCGCACACACACACGGCTGCAGCATTCACCGGGGGGACTGTGGAGGGGGGCGGACGGCGGGTTTCGGTGGCGCCACCATTGACACACTGCGCTCTGCACCCAGAGCGCAGTGTGTCGGCAGCGAGCGATATCTGAACCGCTCCTGCGCCCCCCCCCCCCACCCCAACAGCCCTTCAACAACCCGCACGGAGTGAAGAAGCACGGCCGAACAAACTCCCACAACCAACACACCATGGGGTGGGGGGAGAGGCCGTCAGACGGGGGGGGGGGGGGCGGGGCAGGAGTGATTTTACATCCGTAGTGAGGACGACAACGACGATTGCAGGAAGCACGGAGCGATAACACTGAGCAAAAACACCACGGCACCCATTCCCACCGAACGCAATGCGGCCCCCTGCTAGGCGGGCTGGGTTAGGCCAGGTCCGCGGGCGGCTTACGGTCGGGTGAACTTTGGTTGAGGTCGGGAAAATTACTTTGTCCTGGTTAGATTTTAGTCCAGGTTTATTTGGGTGAGGTCAGGTTGGAGGAAAGACAGGTCAGGACACACGTCAGGGAGTGAAAGGTCAGCTCTAGATGTCTGTATCAGGTCAGTGTGAGCACAGGTCTGGTGGATTCAGTTGAGGTTAGCTGAGGTCAGCTAGGGTCAGTTTAAATCAGGTCATGTCAGTGGAAGGATGCCTCAAAGATCAGGTCAGGTAAGGTCACGTAGGTAAAAAATAAAAACAACAAAAATCACGACGTTTCGGCCACAATTCGGTAAAGTCACCTACGTGACTTTACCGAATAGAACCAAAGAGTATGGATCCTTGCAGTCACGAAAGCTTCAAATCTAGAACAGGTAAGGTCAGTTCAGAACATTGGTAAAGTTAGTTGAGATTGGGTTGGGTGGGATCTAGTCAGTGTCCACATGGGACTACTTTTTGCGCAAGTTCTGCAGAGCCTCAGCAGCTGCCGCCTGGTCCTCCTCCTCCCTCTTCTTGATGAACACTTCTCGCTCCTCCAGGAACACGCGGTACTCTTCAGCAGAGAGGCTGCACACAGCGCAAGAACACAACGCACGCCGCGCACACACACACACGCACATCTGCACATGCACGCATGCGCAAACAGATACACGCGCACACATGTACGTGCGTGCGTGCCGATGCACACCGTCTGTGGGGCTCCCTGTGCGATATTCACGAGGGCCTCCAGTTGGTGAGCCCTCAGTGAACCATGAGCCGTGAGTGAGCCATGAGAGCAGTGAGTGAGCCGAGTCAGCCTTAAGTGTGGCCTGAGGGAACCGTTAGTGAGCTGTGAACGAGCTGTGTGAGCCGTAAGGTGTGAGTGGTCCTTGAGTGAGTCTTAAGTGAGCACTAAGTGAACCGTGAATGAGCTGTGAGCCGTGAGTGAACTGCGAGTGAGCTATGAGTTAGCTGTGAGTGAGCTATGAGTTAGCTGTGAGTTAGCTGTGAGTGAGCTATGAGTTAGCTGTGAGTGAGCTATGAGTGAGCTGTGAGTGAGCTATGAGTTAGCTGTGAGTGAGCTATGAGTTAGCTGTGAGTGAGCTATGAGTGAGCTGTGAGTGAGCTATGAGTTAGCTGTGAGTGAGCTATGAGTGAGCTGTGAGTGAGCTATGAATGAACTGCGAGTGAGCCATGAGTTAGCTGTGAGTGAGCTATGAGTTAGCTGTGAGTGAATCTTGTCAATGATCTCAAGGCAGCTGGGTCCATAGTCACCAATAAAACAATTGGTAACACACTACGCCCTGAAGGACTGAAATCCTGCAGCGCCCGCAAGGTCCCTCTGCTCAGGAAAGCACATATACATGCCCGTCTGAAGTTTGCCAATGAACATCTGAATGATTCAGAGGACAACTGGGTGAAAGTGTTGTGGTCAGATTAGACCAAAATGGAGCTCTTTGGCATCAACTCAACTCGCCGTGTTTGGAGGAGGAGGAATGCTGCATATAACCCCAAGAACACAATCCCCACCGCCAAACATGGAGGTGGAAACATTATGCTTTGGGGGTGTTTTTCTGCTAAGGGGACAGAACAACTTCACCGCATAAAAGTGACGATGGACGGGGCCATGTACCGTCAAATCTTGGGTGAGAACCTCCTTCCCTCAGCCAGGGCATTGAAAATGGGTCGTGGATGGGTATTCCAGCATGACAATGACCCAAAACACATGGCCAAGGCAACAAAGGAGTGGCTCAAGAAGAAGCACATTAAGGACCTGGAGTGGCCTAGCCAGTCTCCAGACCTTAATCCCATAGAAAATCTGTGGAGGGAGCTGAAGGTTCGAGTTGCCAAACGTCAGCCTCGAAACCTTAATCACTTGGAGAAGATCTGCAAAGAGGAGTGGGACAAAATCCCTCCTGAGATGTGTGCAAACCTGGTGGCCAACTACAAGAAACGTCTGACCTCTGTGACTGCCAACAAGGGTTTTGCCACCAAGTACTAAGTCATGTTTTGCAGAGGGGTCAAATACTTATTTCCCTCATTAAAATGCAAATCAATTTATAACATTTTTGACATGCGTTTTTCTGGATTTTTTTGTTGTTATTCTGTCTCTCACTGTTCAAATAAACCTACCATTAAAATTATAGACTGATCATTTCTTTGTCAGTGGGAAAACGTACAAAATCAGCAGGGGATCAAATACTTTTTTCCCTCACTGTAGCTGTGAGTGAGCTGTGAGTGAGCTGTGAGTTAGCTGTGAGTGAGCTATGAGTTAGCTGTGAGTGAGCTATGAGTTAGCTGCGAGTGAGCTATGAGTTAGCTGTGAGTGAGCTATGAGTTAGCTGCGAGTGAGCTATGAATTAGCTGCGAGTGAGCTATGAGTTAGCTGTGAGTGAGCTATGAGTTAGCTGTGAGTGAGCTATGAGTTAGCTGTGAGTGAGCTATGAGTTAGCTGTGAGTGATCTATGAGTTAGCTGCGAGTGAGCTATGAGTTAGCTGCGAGTGAGCTATGAGTTAGCTACGAGTGAGCCATGAGTTAGCTGCGAGTGAGCTATGAGTTAGCTGCGAGTGAGCTATGAGTTAGCTGTGAGTGAGCTATGAGTTAGCTGTGAGTGAGCTATGAGTTAGCTGTGAGTGAGCTATGAGTTAGCTGTGAGTGAGCTATGATTTAGCTGTGAGTGAGCTATGAGTTAGCTGTGAGTGAGCTATGAGTTAGCTGCGAGTGAGCTATGAGTTAGCTGCGAGTGAGCTATGAGTTAACTGCGAGTGAGCTATGAGTTAGCTGTGAGTGAGCTATGAGTTAGCTGTGAGTGAGCTATGAGTTAGCTGTGAGTGAGCTATGAGTTAGCTGTGAGTGAGCTATGAGTTAGCTGCGAGTGAGCCATGAGTTAGCTGTGAGTGAGCTATGAGTTAGCTGCGAGTGAGCTATGAGTTAGCTGCGAGTGAGCTATGAGTTAGCTGCGAGTGAGCCATGAGTTAGCTGTGAGTGAGCTATGAGTTAGCTGCGAGTGAGCTATGAGTTAGCTGTGAGTGAGCTATGAGTTAGCTATGAGTGAGCTATGAGTTAGCTGTGAGTGAGCTATGAGTTAGCTGTGAGTGAGCTATGAGTTAGCTGTGAGTGAGCTATGAGTTAGCTGTGAGTGAGCTATGAGTTAGCTGTGAGTGAGCCATGAGTTAGCTGTGAGCTATGAGTTAGCTGTGAGTGAGCTATGAGTTAGCTGTGAGTGAGCTATGAGTAAGCCCTAAGTGAGCCTGAGTGAGCTGCGAGTCGAATTGTGAGCCCTGAGCGAGCCGTGAGTGATCTTTAAGCGAGCCATGAGTAAGCCCTAAGTGAGACATAAATTATTTATCAGTTAGCAGTGAGCGAGCTGTGAGTTACAAAGTGAGCCACGATTGACTCCTAAGTGAGTCGAGAGCTGTGAGCCAAGAATGAGCCCTGAGTGAGCCGTGAGCCCTTCCCTGAGCCCTTGGCGAGCCATGGTGAGCGAGCGACGACTCACGAGGGGACGACCTGCAGGCCGAGCGAGCGAGCTGTGCCGATGAGCGACTTGCACACGTTGAGCACAGAGGTGTCGCGCACTCGGAACGGCTCATCCTTCACCTTGATGCACGCGATCTCGTAGATGTGCTTCAGCGTCAGCTTCCCAGCCACCTCGTGGCCTGGGCGAGGAGGAGGTGACCGCGACAGAGACACGGGAGGTGAGTGGGGGTGAGCGTGGCGTGTGGGGGGGGGGGGGGTGAGGAGATACCAGTGGGTAGGGGCGGGGCTCAGTTTGAGTGGAGTCTGGGTCGGCATCCTGGGAAGAATATTTCCGTGCCCGTGGTAGTTCACGTGCCTACTCCGGTCTATTTGTGAGCAAGGAAAATATTTTGGTCAGAAATGAAGCCCTGGGTAGATGTGGGTAAGTGAGTGGGTGGGGAACCCCTCGTGTAAAGAAGGCTCGAGACTCCGTGTAGTTATCTAGGTTACTGAAACATGAAAAGTCTTCTATCCACCATGTGACCAGCAGAGAGCGCCATGAGCCCAGACACAGGACCCAGTGAGAGCCGATCTATAAACACGTGCCGTGTTTCAGTACCGTGTTTCGAGATGCAGTTTCACCGAGACGATGCCATTACAAATCCACACTGCATTCTGTGGACTCACACAGAGACCCACAGACTCACAGAGAGATGAAGATAAGGCTGCGAGCATTGTCCACGCAACGTGGCGGTCACGTGACATGTATGCAAGGCATGATGGGAGGAGTTGTACCTTCCTGCTGTATGTGAGTAGCACACCTTCGTGTGTTGTTAGATCACGTTAAGATCCATGAGTGACTACCCCTATAAAAAAATTAACGGTGCCAACTTATCATCTGTAGCGTCTTGAGATGCAGTTGCTTTTAGTAGCTGTGTAAATCCAAAATGCATTGTTCATCGTAAAAAGAACGCAAGGGACGCCCTGGCCTTTACAACATGACAATAATAACCTCAATGATAAACACATTTAATAATAGCCGCGTCATTTGTTTGGAAACAAAAAGCCCCTCCGAGTCTCAAGAAATCATTTTCATTAAGGACCTGCATTATTGGCACTTAGCTGCATGCGGGTGGAAACTGGAGGCCCTGGAGAAAACCCAAACCGAGCCACGCGAAACCACGGGGTGACACGAGTAGCCCCCAATGCAGCCTCGGGGGGGGGGGGGGGGGGGGGGTGAGCCCTGCTGAGGGGCGCCCATCCAGGTACGAGGCAGACTCGACCCTTGCTTAAGCTTCCGAGATCCAACGCCATTGGGCGCGTTCATCGCGACGTGGCCGTATACTCGACACGACGTGACAGGTCGTGACCCCTATATGTCTGACCCCCCCCCCCCACCCCCACTTCAGGTCCCCTCACCCGTCTGTCGCGCTCCTTTCTTGATCCCGGCGGCTGCCTTGAGGAAGTATGACGTTGTCGGCTGCCGAAGCTCCAGGTCGTACGTGCGATCAGGCTACACAGGAGGGGCCGGGGGGGTGGGGGTGGAAATAAACGCATTTTACAAACCACGGCCAGTTCCTAACGCTTTCCAACTTAGTGTGATAGAGTGGACGCGTGAATTCTGGGGACGACAATAACTCTCGTGAAGGTGATCCAAAGCGAACGGATTTAGCCCGTGGGCGAAGAGCAATTCTCCTCCTTGTGAGCACCGCGTGAGATGGCAACACTTGGAGTTGTCCCAACACCTTGAAATCGCCGACGACAGCGAATTATGCAAGGGCAGGGGAAGACAGAGGCAGGTGAAAGCAGGCCCGTGAAGGATTCTAAAACACTTGTGCGAGCCATCTCGGAGCTAATCCCCAATTCGATGCGGAGGCAACGGAGGGGAAGTTGGGGATCGGAGCGATGCGTCCACGGTTATGAGCGCGAGCGCGAAGCGTGGCTGCTCTGGGCTGCATGGCGCAGTGTAAATGACACGGGCTTAAGCGATGCGCGCACCCTGGTCGCCGGGATCAATCTCAAGGCGCCAGCGATTACTGTGGCCAAACGGACCGATTGGGCCAGTGCCGTCGGCGAGAGTGTGTGGGACACACGCACACAGCAGCCTTATACCGTGTGGGAAGGACTCGTTGGAAGGTTGAGACAGATTAGGGAAGGGCACCAGGCACAGGTTCGGATATCGCTCGCCAGCGATGTTGTGCGTCGGTAGAAATTGAACGGGGAGATTATTGGGATCATCGCGTGAAGTGCCGTGATCCACTTATAATACAATCTCCCCACGCGAAGCAATTCTAAAACAGTTTAATCTCTCGGCAGCTTTGTGAAAAAGACTAAAAGAATAATGTTCATAGAAGCATAAAAAGGTCTAAATCATCGTCTCGACGAGGTGGAAGATAACGCAGCAAGCACCGCTGAAGAAATGAGGAATAAAGAAAGAAAATTTTGTTGGACTTTTTCGCCATTGCAAGACACAATCGTGCGTGGGAATAGAGGGTGAAAAGCAATTACGGCACAATCTCGCGAGCGGAAATCTATCAGCGACACCGCGTTCAGATATTCTATTTTTTTTTGATCACGGGAAATATTTATGCACGTACGCACGAGGTGGCAGGGGAGGACGAGGAAAATGAGGTGGAGGTGGGGGCGCGGGGAGGACGACGAGGGGGTTTCTGCATCGCATAAAGATAGTGCATTGGTGTTCATTGAAAATAAACGTATTAGCTAACTCTACCGCGAGAGTTGTTTGACCATACTTCACTATGCTGGTCAGTGCGGATTGATGAAGGAAAACAGGGACCAGGGTCTGTGCAGACATCACTCGCCACTGACGTGAGACGTGCCTGGGCACCGAACCCATGTCACCCGGGCTCCACCCCAGTGGGAATATTAAATAACGTTTCAAGCGAATACCCGAGGTGTAAGAATTCAACCCCGGGCAACTTCGATGAATTTCCACAATCCAGGGCTGCGATTCGATTCAACAATCCATTCGTTTTTTTGTTGTTGCGTTTTCACCGTCTTTTTCTTCTCTATCGTTTCTCGGAATTTCTGTGATGTTCGTCCAGTTTTGTTTGCTCCATTGGCCAAAATGAAACATTAGCATTTTATTTGCATCCAACAAACATAGATTCGTGCACGCGCAACTTAATGCACGCACTGTGACCCTTGAAAACGGCAACGGACTGATTAATTTAATGCATCGATACACCCCTGATGATTAGGCATGGAGCAATACACTCCTTCCCACCTCCACCCACACCGCCACAGTACCGTACAACGCATTCTCACAATTTGGGGTCACATCGCATCCTAGGTTCCATCTCATTTGTTTTGCCTTACTCATTCCAATTTTGCCCCGACGTGACTTTGGCATATAATCTTAATCGATTGTAACTGACTCATTCCTAGATGCACAATTTGATACGCACACATTGTACAAGCATCGATTTAAAATCGATGAATGGATAATGCGCACAACAACAATAGTACTCGCTCATTCATTAATTGCAGGGAAGCCTCACCCGAGTCTCAAGGCTCACTTTCAGGAGGGCCCTGCATTCACGTTTGGCCCATTTCGTGTGATGGTGTGATGCGCATTATGTGCGTGCAGGGGGAAAATCGTGGGAGTACCCAAGCAAAATCACACATATGAGGAGACAGCACTCACAATTCTGGTGCCACGGTGACGAGATGTTAACTACCTCGCCTGGTATACAGGAGGTCGTGAGTTCAATCCCGACCCTGACGCCTGCGTATTTGGAGTTTGCGTGTTCTGCCTGTGGTCGTGTGGCTTTTTCCCCAGGTCCTCCGGGTTTCCCTCCACATCTTGAAACATGCGTTTAGAGTATTTGGCTGCGATAAATTTCGACATAAGCCTCTTCATTGAGCTATCATTTGTGACCAGGTAGCTTCTGAAAAATAGCTATATAGCTCAGTGGGCTTTAATACAAAATAGTTTTCAGTGGTTCTACGAGAGATTAGAAGTGCACTTGCTGTGCTGCCATCTCCTAGCAACTCTGCAGATAAGCAGAGTCTCCAACACGCAACGACCCATGTACGATCAACAAACCCTGCACATCCAACATGGCCAGGCACGCAACAACGTACCGTCGTACACGTCCGGCCACTTGCTGTACGTGTTAGACTTTGATCCGGCAAAATTCCATCTCTGAAAACGAATTATATTGGTTTGACTGTCACATGATGAGTATTACTCTTAGTAGCAGGGTGGGTAGGAAAGTGCTTCCCCCCACCTCCTACTGTGAGGACTAGGCGTCTGCGATATATTTTACATCGAACCGTGAACCCTCTGCAACGAGTGGCGAACGTGGCTACCGCCGGGTATCTGCGTCTGCCGCTGTTTTTGCGCTTCCGTGGGATCGTTCTCGAACAAAAAGGGCCGCACTGTTCTGCGTGAGATCTGCATGGATTCTCCATCTTGTGATGTGATGCCGGATCCGGATTTGGCGGTCGGGGGGGGGGTGGGAATAGAAAATATGTAATATGAAATAAATAACAAAGAGCACCAGTCGACCCAGTCTTACGCATTCAGAGCATGACACGTTTTGAGCGTCGAGCCTTTCATTCACTATGTATAATCAGGGGATGTTTTAAAATCTTTCTTTCAAACATTATTCGTATTCTGTTTACCGTAATAGCCTTACCACCGCCTAGAAAAAAAATCAGCGACGCGATTTGTAACATTTTATTTAATACGACGGGTGCCGTGCGCCTTGCGACACAACGTTTCATGATTGTAGAATGATGGCGTGTGCGCAGTGACAAAACATTTGAGCATTGGAAAGCTTTAAATACGTAGGCATGTTGAACTTCGTTCGCACAGTACATAGCCAACCGTGCTAATTAGAGGTGCGGGGGAAGGACAACAAAACTAAACACACAAAAAATCACGTACGTGCAACGGAACAGTCAACCATTCTTGTGGCACAACTCCTCACACTTGAGGCCACAGGCTTCGCGACACAGCTGGTAGGCAGAGCGTGCAGCACACTCGCTTGATTGTCGGGATGATGACAATGATGATGATGAGTTTTGTAGCCGTGGGGCGGTGCTCACGGTTAAAGAGGACACAGGGAGTGCAGCAAGTGGCGGCGATGCTGTGGTTTGAAGATGATTACATAAGACTCCTACAGCAATAATCGCGTCCAGGTCGAGTAATATATCAAACGGCTCTGCTCGTCCACCCCCCACCAACCCCCTGCCCCCCCCCCCAATCCCCCTCCCCATCCCCCTCCCCAAAAAGCCACCAACGTGCATAGACCAGCCTGGTGAAGTATGATCAAATATTCTCCATGACAGACCTGTCATTGAGAGGCCTTCTTCCAGCAATGGGTTGACAAACGAGCTGTAAATTATTGTAATTCTTATTAAATAATCACGTCCTAAGTCTCACTTGCGCAACAGACTGGTCATCAAAATGGACCGTAATATGAATAAATAAAGTAGTGCGTCCTTTCATTTGGTATACAATATTAATTATAAAGGCATTTAATAATTCAATACCGGCGAATGTCAAACCATCTCGGCGCTCAAACAAAAGAGCCTCAGCCAGCGATGGAAACCAGGAGTTGTTAATCAATAAAAAAATATTCTTTTTAGGAACCAAATATCGATTCCAAAAGTCGTGGAATCGATGACCGAATCCAGTTCATACTTTAGCAGCCATCAAACCGATTGGCACGGTCAGCGGTGGCCACCGTGAGGCACCGGCGACGTGGCTCAGCCGGTCGCCGCGGTGTGCGTTCCGACTGACGCAGAGGGCACGCGGCACAGGGCCGGACTTTTATTATTATTCGTTTTATTGCGGGTTTTTTTTTTGTTTTGGCATTCCATTATCAACAACGCAAACTCCTGAAATTGACAGGCGTAATTGGAAATTCCATATTCACGCGGGAGGGTCTGGCGCCACTGAAGCACACGCACGGTAATAATGATGGCTCGGGGTGGCGGTCCGTGGGTTGTTACCGTCAGGCTTATTTTCCGCGTCCCTCCCTCCCGGCGGGCGGCGCTCTCGCCGTGACCGATGATGACATTTTAGCGAATCCGCGTGTGTGTGCGCACTGCAAATAACGGGGGGGGGGGGGGGGGGGGGGAATGTCTCGCACCCACCGGCGTCTTCGGGGGGGGGGGGGCGGGGGGGTCACGGGGATCAGCTGGGGACAATGCGGAGCAAATGGTATTGTCTCTGTGATCCCCCCCAACCCCTCCTCCCACCGCCAGTGCCTTAACGCCCCCGTCCCTAACAGCCATCCATCTATCCCACTCACCCACCCACCCTACTCACTCACTCACTACATTGTCTCCCCAGTGGCGATATTTGCACACTGCACTCGGTACTCATTTGAGGCTGTGTCAACCAGATAATTGCCACTGGTGTAGGTTGTGAGTGGGAATCTAACTCGGGTCACCAGATTTGTAGCGCAGCGCGCTAACCACTACACTACCGCTCCACTCACTCACCCACCCCACTCGCTCACCCACCCCAATCACTCACCCAACCTACAATACTCACCCACCCAACCAACCTCTCCACACCGCACCAATCACCTATGCACCAACTGCCCCCACCGAACAACTGCACCGCGGCAACCGCCCTTGTCCCACGCCCCAATGCCCGCAGCGCTTCCTGGCATCCGCGGTGACAGAATAACCTCGCTACGTCGCCATGCGCGCGCATGGACACTTACTCAACCGCCGTGCGCCGTCTCCCCTCGCCTCCCCCACCACCCCCCCACCCCCCGCTCCCAGGTCTCCATTCACCACGGCGGAACATATTTCACCATTAGCTCGAGCATGGGCCGTGGTGTGTGCCGGTTGCGAGGGGCAGAGTTGACTTTATCAAACGTGAGACACCTGGAACCTCCTCCTCCTCCTCTACATCTGAGAGATGGTCCGATGGCTGGGATATATGGATTTTGTTTGCTGTGGAGATCTGCATACAATTCCTGCATTCATTTTAGAGCCTGTCTCCGTCGTGAGTTATGGCTCAGTATTTCTCCCTCAGGGCTACTTTGTGCTGCCTTCATGCTCCCATTCTTTCGCTGTGATGCATTCAATCATATCTGCAACACTGTATGTTCAAACGGGTCCAGAGCTTTGCTTGTCTTGAAACAATGCTGCTGGAATTTATTGCACTCCAAGAAGGCGGTGCAACTGGAACAAAAACTTATATTTTTGTTGGCTGTTTCGAGCTGTGCATCACGCTATCGTTTTCCGTCGAACTAAGAACCCGCATCGCGTAAAGACACGTACAGAGAGAGGGTCCCCACCTGTCAGATCGGTAGTTAACTAGCAGTGCATCAAGCAAGCCCGACTCTGCTGATGAGAGACTGAATATTGAAACCCGGTTCAGAGTTTGCTCAAGGTTGCCAACATTAAACCCATAAGGCTGTGTTGGTGATAATTTGAACCTTCCCTCCCCCCTGCGCCCCGATTTCAATGCACGATCCATTGCTATGCCAGTTAACGCATTATTATTATTATTATTGACAGTGGTGGTGACAATCGATGTAATCGTTTCATTTCTCCAGGCATTTGAAGCTGCTGCTTAGAGTCGGTCTAAAATCGGTGCGCCCACTGGCGTACATTTTGACGTTAGCGATCTCGACGTTGCGTACGGCAAGGGGAATCGGACAGAGGGACGGGCTTCTCTCCAAGGACATTTGGAGCGACATCAAATTACGTCTTCCGAGGACTGGACTGCCCAAACACAAAAAGTACATTAACACGCATGGAGAACGCATTAATCACCCCAGAGTAAAATTTCGATTTAAAGCTTTCGTGACTGCAAGGATTCATCTTCTTTGGTTCTTTCGGTAAAGTCACGTAGAATGAGAATAAAATAATAAATTGATAAAATAAAATAACACAATAATATTCTCACGACGTTTTGGCCACAACACAAGCGGCCTTCATCAGGGGAAGGGACGAGACTGTCTGGAGGACAGCGCTGGAGTGAAAAAAACACGCTCAGATCGCGACCAGAGTTGCTTTACCGCAGTCTTCAATGCACTCCAATGGGAATGAATGAATTAAAAAAAAACACTTTATAGAGCAGAAGGCTGCAAAGTTTGGAGCAAAAATAGTAACATACAACAGGTTCGTCAGACAACCGGAAATATCCGCTGTTGGGAATCAGATCAGAATCAGAAGAATATTCATTTATATTGGAGGAATCCGACAAGCTATAAAGCTCTTTTTCACAGATGTTCAGTTGGGGACATGCCTGGAATATGGCTAGACAACGCAGCTTGATGTGTGTGACTCCAGCACCTTTGCTAAAGGCGGAGCGAGGGCCAAAGCAGTGGACACACCCGAGAGAAGGACCACCTCGGAGATGGAGTGATGAAATCAGCTTGTGCGCAGGCGCTAGGTGAACTACTACACTGCGGGACCGTGAGAGATGGCGGAAGCCAGCACCCAGCAGTGGGTTGATCGAGGTTGATGGTGGCTGATGATGGCAATGATGATGATGATGATAATGAATTGTGATGTGCGTGCAGGAACAACAGATTTGCATTCATGCATCCGTGTTCCCTCCTTGTTCTCCCTCCTCGACCGATCTCCCCCCCTCCCCTCCCCGCTCTGCCTCCCTCAACCTCCCAAAGCCAGCTCATCGCCCCCGTGGTTATCGGTCTAACGACTCGTTTCCTAAGCGTCTGATTTATAAGCGGCAGCTCAGCCTCCCGTCTACAGCGCTGGCAGTCGAAGCGCAATCGTTGCCATCCGGCCGCCACCAGGGCAGTTGCAGTTTGCCAGTTCGACCACCGCCAGAGCTCCCCGGATGACCAATTCCCTGGGGGCGTTATTAACGTGATTATAATATTCATTATTGCTAAGCCGTACAGAGAACTCCCGCTTTATCCGAGGGCAGATTATCCGGGTTGCGGATTAACCATAATATCGTTTTTTTGGGTTAGATCGCGTAAATATAAATGGGCCGTTAAACCCGCCACCACTCGTAACAGCCAATTAGTGAAGTTTATCACGTGAACAGAACATGCCAATTCGTTACTAGTACAGCACACCGGTGTGCTGGAGAGCAAATCCACAACATTTACAATCTGAGTACGACGTTTCGCCAGTAATTACAACTAGCTTCATCAGGCGACAGCCAGATCTAACTAAAACAAAACTATATTAGGGATGATATTGGTTGCGAAAGCCTACGTGTTAAACCGCCGTTTAACCGCACGCTCATTCGCGCCTTTTACATGCGACTGCCGTTTTCACTGTCAGCTGCTCCTCACTCGTCGATGGTTAAGCGAATCACATTGCCCGTGTGACCGCAAGCACGACGCCAAGTAAACCAGTTACTCCAAGCAGCAATGAAGACAAACAGCGCATTCTGCATCTTTATTCCCGTTCTACGTAGGCCAACAATAAAAATGGGTTATAGTCTAATTCGTGTTTGGTATTATCCGTCTTTTTGTTGTAATATCGGGGCCACCCATCCCACCACTACCAGGGATGATCGAGAGCTGAGTGAGTGAGCGACCCTGTGATGGAACTCGCAAGAGCAGACGACTGCGTGCTGCGTATTGGATAACCTGTTTCAACCCACAGACAAATTGGTGGCAACCGATAACCGGACAGCTCGCTCACCCGGATGTTACGATGCACTTTAGGAAGAAGATTTCAACTGGGTGCAGCAAAATCGTAAATTAAACGGTGATAGTGACCACAGTAACCGTGGTGATGCCATCTCTGCCAAAATCGCGAAATTAAAATTATGACTTGAGATGATAGTGACAATGGTGACTAATAACAAATAATAATCAAAGCAGTAATTACATTTCATAAATTCAGTCTGTTTAGTCAACAAAGCCTTTTATTTCCGTATCGTCCTACGTATGGATGTTCAACTTATTTCGCACCGTATGCAGCCAACCGTGCTAATCGGAGGTGCACGGAGAAGTGTGCCACACTGGTTTAGCTTATTTAATTTTTTAAACCAGCTGTGCCAGGACTGGGCAAAACAGAGCCCGCCACTTTTCACCCGGGAAACTGGAGAGCGCAGACTGTGTGGGGGGGGGACATCTGTTTCTAGCGTAGTATTAAAAACTAACAAGAACGTGCTTAAGAACGAGCACTCTTTCCGGCGTAACCGCAAAATAAACCTTACTCAGCTGTCTCGGAAATCGACCTTCACAGGGCCTGCACAGCTTGGTTCGTGTAAGTAACTCGCTGTGCTTTCATCTTCTGGCCATACTCGTAGCACAGCGTGTTTGGGAAGTTTAATATAAAAATGTACGAGACCCACTAAACGTCGTCTTCAAAGAGGTGAGTTAGTAGTGCAGCGATGTTGATGATAATGATTTTAATGCTGGTCAGCTTAACACGTAGGCTTAGTATGTAATGTATGGTGATGATATTAGCGAAGATGATGACGATGTTACTGATGATGGTGATAATGAGAATGATGATGGGAGCGATGATGATAGTGATGGTGATAATGCTCACGATGATGACATGGATGATGATGATGATGACGACACAGCAATGATGATGATGAGAGCGATGATGATGCCGACAATGGTGAAGATGATGCGTCACCTTGATGTGGATGCGGATGGGCAGGGGAATTCCCTCCTTGATGTCCTTGGTTGCTTCGTTGAAGTTCTTGCAGAATGGGCCAATGGCGATGCCTCTCTGCAAAGACGCACACAGAGAAGCACATTTGTACACACATGCGCATTCATACACACAGGGACGCGCACGAGGGGGTGGATGGCCAGCACCATGCCCAGCCACCGTTGTCTCCCCAGTGCTAATATTTACACAACCACACCAGGTACTTATTTAAGGCTGAGTCGCCCTAGGGGAGGGACAAGAACGATTCAAATAATCGCCTTTGTGAACGGTCGTGAGCAGGAATCGAAGTCGGGTTGTCGAGTTAGCAGCGCAGTGCGCTAACCACTGCACTACCGCTACACACGCACACATTCAATCGTACAAAGACTGACACACAGAGACACACACAGAGACACACGCGCGGAGACACACACAGAAGCGCGCACAGGCAAATAAATAATGCAGCTGCAGCTGCCGCCCTGGCCGCCCAGCTTTGAGCCAGTTTTAATTGGCACCATAAGGCCCGTGGAGCTTGGCAAAAATGTCCTAAATTGAGCATTTATATATTTTTAAAACCTGTAATAATATTGCTTCCGCTGCTGCTGCCGCCACTGGAAGTTGACTGCGTGCACGTGCGTGCGTGCGATCGGAACCCGTTAAAGAAAGCCTGGAGGTCCCCAGCCGAGGCCTGAGTTTAAATCGGGTTTTCAAATCGGTTTACCGTGACGGAATATTTTGCGCAATTAACGACGAAGTTGAAGAGGATGGACGCCAAGACGAGTCAAGGATGACCGCTCGCTGCAGGAGGCCACGGCCAAACACAAACAAATAAACAAGGAAGAGATTCACTCCTTTGAAAGAAAGAGTTTGCTTGCATAATAAACAAAATCTTTATGTGCCATCGAGCGGGGAGGAATATGATGAATTATTAAGCCAAAACTATAAATGTTAACGGCCCGTATTTGCTCCGTGTTGGGTTTATTACTCAAACTATTTACGTGCATGTTTACCAAAACGAACATTCGACCTGGAGCAGGCACGGATTTTAAATTGTAAATCTCTCTGTTGTTTTTATTCAGAAGCTCCACGCATCGATTCTCGTTGTGAATTAAGCTCAAGGGGCTCATGCCAGCGAGTACAGTGTGAGCCCGGTGATCCGAGTCCACGGTGAACCATCGGTGGAGAGTGATACCCAAACCGATTCTAGGCCCTGCCCCCATTCCTTCCGCCCACACCCCCTCGCCATCCCCCTGGAGAACCCTTCACCAACCCGCACTGAACATGGTGAAGTATGGTCAAACGACACCCTTACAACTGACACGGCATGGGGAGGCCCCCATGCCAAAAATTATTCAAAATTATTATCGCAAAAGTTAACTTGTAGTTTATGAGTTGAAGTGGTTTCCCTTTGTAAATGCCGTACAACCCCAGGGACGCATGTTTTCAAGACGGAGAGTGGCTTTCCATATAATTATGTATGTGTGGGGGGGGGGGGGGGGGGGAAACATCTGTGAAAAAGAGCTTCATAGCTTATCGGATTCCTCCAGTTTCAATAAACATTCTGCGGATTATAGCCCGGTGCCTGGGCCCCTTCGGCCCATTGGCCCCGGTGCAGTTGCTCCGCCTGCACACTCGATAGCTAGGCCACTGATCTGCCTTCTGAGCCACCAGGCCTCCTCCATGCCTGATGTTTACGCGAACCTTTTGAGCTAGGCTCTACGATTACGTAAGTCATCAATTACTCGACTAATCAGATGCCACGGAAATATTTGGAAAAAATAAAATCCTCGCCCCTGTGTCCTTCATGTATGCTCCTGAAAGGGAGATGCCGGGCGGGGTTAGGCCACATCACGCTGGGCGTGTCTTGTGGGGGTTTCCCACCTTCGGTAGGCAGGATGTTTGGGCGGTCGCGAGTGGCAAAGGGGCCCCGAGTAATCGACGACGAAGTCGATTACCGTGTCTAATCGATTACCATGTCTAGTCGGCCGACCGTGTCTAGTCGATTCATCCGACTTATTCGAGTAACCATAGCAACTCTGATTATAACGATCGTCCCAGCCCGAGGCATCGGTCCACAACTACACGCTGACGCTTTCCCCACCCCCAATAGAACCACCGTAACAGACCGTTAATGCACGCACGCACGTACGCTGCCCCTGCCAGTCGTTAAACGAGCATTGGGGCGTCGCGACTGTGCCTGGGGGGGGGAGGGGAGAGAGACAACGCTGTTAAATAAAAGACGAGAAAACTAGCTGAGCATGCGCCGGAATGAACGCGGCGACGGCCGTTCATCAGCAGCAGTCACCGCGGGCGCGACGGCGGTAGGGGCAAGGAGGGCACGGACCCCGGCTAAATGTCACGCGCTCCCCCGACGGGGGAGGCTCCGTGTCGCCGTCTTAAACGACGCGCCGCTCAGCTCCGCGTGTCGTACCACGGGGCCCTTTTAGGAGACGCACGAGCGGGGCGGCCCCCTGTGTCTCTCGCTCTCCCAGGACGCATGTAACCACCTAATGGCGGTGTCAGGACCACGAACTGGACCCTCCGGTGGTCTGGGTTCGAGGTTGGGGCGTCTTTTCAGGGAGCTCGTGGTTATATTGGCACGCTGGGCCAGAAACTCTGAGATCCTGAGTTTGAGACCAAGGTGATGGTGTGTTTTAGGGAATTGATGACAATACTGGGGCACTGCCACTGAACGTCTTCAATCTGAGTTCAAGCCCCAGGTCCCTATTTCAAGAGGCTTGTATTTCGGATTAGCACCTATGAAGTCCAGGTTTAAGCCCAAGGGCTGGGTGTCTTTCAAAGACAATGAGCGGTTGGCTTCATGCGGGAGGAAGAAAATTCAACACACATGCAAGGCGATAACACTCAAGAACTCCACGCAGATTTCTTCAAGAATTCACAGCTGTACTGCCATCTCCCGGCCACGTAATAATGACGGGACGGCATGAGTTGCGCAGGCACATCCGACACCAAGCCTTCAACTCGCGCGGGTTGCTCCGCTCCTTGCTTTTGCGCACACTCACACGTGTTTTATTGCGACAAAGTGCAGCTAATGTTTTGCTGGGCACGTAAGAACGCCCGCTTAATCGCATTTGGAAAACGACAAAATGACTCCCGCGTCGTTTTACCGCACAGGCTGCTTTCAACAAACTTCTTATAATTGCTTAACAACTAATATTTCATTCGCGGCGTTTACCAAAGAGGATACGAGAGGAAAAAAAACTCAATTGAAAAATACACTTTAATTACGCTGAGTCGGGGACATCCCAGAATGCGCGATTCAGCAGCGAACCTTGGATCACTCGCGATTAAAAGCCGGGATCTATTCTCCAGTGACAATTCCCATTGCCGCCCTCCCCCCACCCACCAGCTCTCCATTCGCAAAGAACTCATTGACCCCAGCAGAGGGCACTTGCACGATTGGACGCGTGGATGGGGTGGTGACGCGGCCTTAGTAGCAGAGGGCCACGTTTCGAATCCAGCAGCCGCCCCGATTAATGCCGGCGGGCATATTACCCATAGATATCTACGCCGTCCGCTTCACAGTGGACGGCGTCACGGTCCGAATTGACCCAAATTTTTTAGTCATTACCCGCAAAAATTACTCAATTGGAATCTACATAGCGACCATCGCCACCGCCTACTGCAAACACTTGGCAATACCCTCCTGAAAGAGAGTCGCGAGACTCGACGAGCCCTTTGCCAAGTAAACACAGGGAGAACAAATAGGAAAAAAAGGCACTAATTCGTGTTGATTCTCCGAAGGGCTTTCGGGTTGTCCCGCGCGTTGCTCAGGCATGATGCACGACATACTGCTCCGCGTGATAGAACAATTCAGGAACGATTCAACAAAACGAAACATCACACGTCCAGGCGGGTGGAGGTGGCTGGGTGGCTCAGAGGTCAGAGCATTGCGAAATCCCGTGCTTGGTTCTCAAGTGGAGTGACTTGATGGCCTCGGCCAGGGGTCAGCAACCTGCCGCTCCGGAGGCCCCCCGCCCCCCCATGCGGCTCTTCAAGGACCGCTTCGTGACGTTATTTATTAATGGATGCCGTCTCGTATTCACCATGCGCATTGTGGCTATTAAGATAGGGGGGTTTTTTTCGTAGCGAATTCGAAGAAAATTGCTCTGCTTGTTATTTTGGTTGCCGGCCCCTTGGCCTAAGCCCAGTCAACCAATGGCTGAAACAGAGAGTATTTCCCAATAATTCTAATTTGAAATTAATTTTGTCAAAACATTTTCCGCTCAACTCTTTTACAAAATACCAGTACGATTTCCATCGGGTGAACATTTCTCTCCCGTGGTGAATGTGTGAAATTAGTGCCTCAGAATCAGTTTCTCTGACATCACCTTCCACGGAACATGCTCTAACACACAGGACACGAGACGCGTGGCCTACAGCGAGGATATTGGCATGGATCCATCATCTCAAGACACGGCCGTGTCCACCCACAATTCCCACACCTGCTGGGTTTTTGACGGGAATGAGCGTGGCGCACACATCGCAAATGGAATGGAATTGTGAGAAAAATACGAGAAAGATGAAACACCAAATTAATACTGGAAACACCGATACAAAAACACTGCTACAAAAACACTGTAAATTAGACAAGTGGTGTAAGTAAAGCGGCTAATTGTGCATTCAGAGTCGGCTGTCACATTGCATTAAGCTCCGAGCGCGTGTGGCAAATCGAAGGCAAAGTGAGTGGCGTCGCACGCGGCGCCGAGGAGTAATGAGTGTGAACGTGCGGCGACGCGGGGCGGGGATGAGGTTAACCTAGCTCCCCCGTGGCCCCCACCACGTCCTCCTGTGAAGCCGGATCGCACGGCCGAGGCGGTGCCAACCCTCATCATGCCCTCAGGCAGAGCGCGGAGCGGCGATGAGCCGCCGGGGAAACGGCTACGAATAAGGGAACGTCGCCCGCGGAGCGGGGGGCACGGGAGTGCTTGCGTGTGCGCGTGTGTGTGTGTGCTTGTGTGTGTGTGTGCTTGCGTGTGCGCGTGTGCTTGCGTATGTGTGCTTGCTTGTGCGTGCATGCGTGGAGCGGTAGTGTCACGGATAGCGCACTCTGCTAC